ATACTGTGTTTAGATTTAGAGTTATCTGTTTGTTTTGAGACCAAAGCCACATTTGGCTATTTGTTGGCTCCACTGCGGGGAATCGAACTTTGGATTTTAGCGTTGTAAGTTCGTAAACTTACTGTTGTACTACCGGTGGACATATTAATTGTGAGGGACATACCACTGTGTTTAGGTGGAGAGAGAGACACCTGGGAACTCTGAGAAAAACACCAAGTAACTTTGATTTAAAAAAAAAGATTTTTGAGAAGCGTATCTTCGTCGTAAAGAAAAGGTAAAATTAAATTTAGTCAAAATTTGTACAAAAACAGTGAGGGTGTTTTGATGGGAAACTGATTTTTTCAAGAGTCCAGTTCTTGTGTATAATGTAATTTAATATATATATATATATTTGTTTATTGTATATGTGGATCCCGCACGATAGGTCTGATATACTAGCTTACTGTATTTTGGTTTAACAGCAAGTTCGCGTGGTATTATGGGTGATTTAACTAGCTGTGTGGTGAAAAATGGCCAATGAAATTGTGGTTTCAACCGTTCTGGTTAATTATAATTTCCAAAATGGTTGTATTCATTGATAAAGGCCAATGACGAGGAGCTTGTCCCTCCGATATGCTAAGATAATAGTTTTATGGGGGGGGGGGGGGGGACGAGTAGGCGTGTAATTATTGTAATAATAATAATACACGACAACTGAAGCAGGGTTGCAAGTTAATTATGTTCACGAACGTAAGAGAAATCTTACTGGGTATATCGTGTTTTTTGTTCCCCAGCTTCACAATCATGTCATTTCACCACGATAACCTCTACGTGTGACTAATCTTCCATTGAAGTGAAGGGAAACCTGAATAAATAGCTTCCACTGGATACGACTTAGCGTTGTTCATAATATATGTAAACATACTTGTTTCTCTTATAGCCAGTCTCATAAAAGTTGGTCGTTTTGTACAAATCCACGTGGTGATGTACAGCTAGTGACTGATGATGTTTACATACTTTACGTGATGTACAGCTAGTGACTGATGATGTATATATAATTTACGTGATGTACAGCTAGTGACTGATGATGTTTACATACTTTACGTGATGTACAGCTAGTGACTGATGATGTATATATAATTTACGTGATGTACAGCTAGTGACTGATGATGTTTACATACTTTACGTGATGTACAGCTAGT